GGGGGGGGGGGGGGGAGCGGGCTGCATATGTGCGCTCGCAAGAGTGCGTGCGAGCCGGCGGGGGCGTGCTTGCGAATGAGGAGAATGCGTCGTGGCATAGGGGTATCATCGGCTGGCAAACAGGGCAACCGTTGTTGGTTGACTGGGGGACGCGTGGCAGTGTGCGCGATGCAGGCCCGCCGAGGGAAGCCAGCCGCTAGGTCGAAGATCCTTGCACCAACGTCAGTTTGGACACCTGGGTGAGCCGCGACCAGCTAGTCTGCCCTTTGACATTCCGCTGTATTCATGATCTCGCAGGCGTGGCTGCGCTGATCGGCCGCGTGATCAAGAGTACTGCCGAGGTCGCCTCCAAGTTGGGGCAGGCCAAGGTCGAGTGCATCTGCATCTGCCCCGCCGCGGTGATGTCACAGTGAGTCATGCAACGCAGGCTTCGCCGACCCCTGCACACGGTGTACTGGGCGCCTGGCGCTGCTGCCGCTGCGCGCACTTGCGGAGCGGCGGCTGTGGTGCGCAGTGCAGTTGACTGCGGCCTGCCTGCCCTGAATCAGCCTGCACTTCCTGCCTTTCCTGCCTGGTGGCTACCAATTGGTGCAAGCCAACATGAACGCATGCACATGCTTCGATTCCCGTTCATGCATCTTGTGTGCCAACCAGATCTCTCACGCACGGCGTCGTGATGCACACAAAGCGCACACCCGCCCCATGCATGCTCATACACCCACGCACGTACCCCTTTTGTGTGCTGCCCAGGGAGCTGGCCACGGAGTGCGGCGATTACGTAACCTCCCTCGTCATGCGCTACGACCTGGTACGCTTCCAAATGTTGCTGCTGAGAATCGGGGTTTTGGCGTGTGTCCTCACAAACAGGTCATGGCTGCCGACTTCGCATGCAACGCTGCATGCCATGTAGCGTATGCAGCAGCAGAACCGAGCAGACCCGCTCGTGACGTCGCACACTTTCTAGGTTCCAAGGTTCAGCACCGCGAGCGTCGAGGAGCTCAAGGAGGAGGTGCTCCAGATCGACTACAAGGGGCTGCTGTCCGAGGATGTGATGGGCAACGAGGTGAGATCACAGCATTCGGCACACGCGCGGTCAATTCTGACATTGTCCCACCCCCCTGTGAAGGATGCCTCAAAGAGCGGCGACATCGCATGGGGTATCTGCCAGTACTTGACCGCTGCAAGCAGCACGTCGCGAAGAAGGGCTCTACACATCATGCCTCCAATGCGAGGACTCTATCATACAAGTGCATACCTGCCTAATGTACATGCTCGCATGCAGCTGCCAAGCTGTTGAACATCCCCTGGTTGGCTCGCCCCGCGCCCTCCCCTCTGCTGCTCCCCCACCCCCCGCGCCCCACTGCGTCACTTGTCGCTACGCGCGCGGCCGCAGAACGTCAAGGCGGCCATTGAGGCTACCACACGCGCGGCCGAGAAGTTCAGGGTGAACGAAGCTGCACAGAAGGCGCAGGAGCTGCTGCAGAAGGCCCACGGGGCGGCTGGGTCGCTGGCCAGCCGCGCGGCCGCCCACCCTGCGGTGGGTGTCGACACTCAAAGAGCAGGACCGGGCAGCGGAGCGCTTGCAAAGGGATTGCAGTGAGGGAGCTCAGGCTACAACGCACACGTGAACGCAAGCATGCCCTCACGCATGCAAGCCTTTGCCCACACACCTGCCTTTTCACACACACACACACACACACACACACACACACACACACACACACACACAACAAACACAACACACCCACAACCCCACTCCTTCAGGTTCAAGCCGCGGGCGAGAAGGCGGCAGGTCACGCGAACTCCCTGGCCCACACAATCGACTCCGCCCTTTCCCACAGCAGCCCAAGCAAAGGCGCCACCTCTGACGCCGCCGCGGCTGCCGCCAGCGCAGGCGCCTCTGAAAACGCGACCGACGGCGCCGCGCCGGCCAAGGGCGTCGCCGCGAAGGCGGCCGCGGCCAAGGACGCCGTGGCCGGCGCCGCGCTGCAGTCCGAGCCAGTCCGCGCCGCGCTCGGCTGGGTCTCGGCGGCGCTCAAGGCGGCGGCCTCCGCGGGCAAGCAGCCCTCGGAGCGGCGCGACACCGCGGCGGCGGCGGCGGCGGCGGTGGCGGCGGTGGACAAGGCGGAGAAGAAGGACGTGGGCGGGGTGGTGGCGGAGCGGCGTGTGTCGGGGTCAGGGCACGAGCGCGAGGCGGCGGAGGAGGCGCAGGAGGCGGGGGAGCTGGTCGATGTGCGGCTGTACGCCCCTGGGCGCATCTTCTGGCTGGTGAGCCGCCGCATCGACCTGGCCTGGCCTGGTCTGATCTGGTCTGGCCTGGCCAGGTCTCCTCTCATCTGGTCTGGCCTCGCTCGGCCTGGCCTGTCGCGGCCTGGCCTGGCCTGACCTGTCCTTGTCAATATGGTCTCATGCGGTCTGGTCTGGTCTGGTTCCTGGTCTGGTCTGGTCTGGTCCGATCATCTGACATCACATGGCCGGGGCATTTCCACATAACGATTGTGACGAAGCGGCTTCTCGGGGACTACCATTGCCAGCCGCGCGTCGTACCGCACACTCTTTGCCGCCCTCTCTGCTTCGCCCTTGTCAGCGCCCCACCAACGATGAGGCGCCAGAGGACCAACACAAGTTTGAGCTCGTGGACACCGGCTGTGGTGGGTCCTATGTATGTGGGTGTTGCTGCATGTGTACGCACAGAGGGGTGTGTGTGTGAGTGTGTGCGTATGAATGTGTCCTTGAATTAAGCCACGTTTGTGCATGTCTGCAGGCGTTAATGTTTTGGCTGTTGATTTCATATCCAAAGCAAGTGACCATGGCCAATATCATCACCTGAATGCGGCAAGACTGCTCCACGCTGCCAACCAGCGGCCCCTGCCAGTCGGCAGCAGCTTGGCACTTGGCAGCAGCTTGCGCTCGCTGCAGCGCCTCGCATCCACGCAAGCCGACCTACCTCCTCCCGCTCTACCCACAGACGCGCGCTTCCAGCGCATCGTGCTGCGCGCCAGCTGCCTCACAGGTGTGGCCCCGCTGATCCTCAACTGCACCCCCTGCACCCCACTCGACCTGCGGCTGTGACTGATTGTGGCGTCACAGTCGGCACCCCGCCCCCACCGCCCCTTGCAAGCGAGGGGCGCGTGGCCCGCTGGGCCTGCGTCACGGGCAGCCTAGCCTGCGGCTCGCCCTCCCGCCCGGCCTCCTGCTCCTGCCTCGCGCTCCGTCATGCGCGTCACGTTTTCGCGACACCCGTGTTCCCTTCATTTGTTGCTCGTTGGGCTGCACCTGTCACCACACATCATTTGAAAATTCAACCATCCCACATTTGCCGCCAAACGCAGATCACTTCCCGGCGTCGGCCAAGGCGGCCCTACAAGACGTCCTCTCACGCGTCAAAAAGCCGGCGGCCGCGTAGAGCGCGCCGCCCTCTGCCGCTGCGCCGCGCCGCGCCCGCCGACCAGCAGGGCCGGGCGGGGGCGACTGCGTAGGCGCTGCTGGCTGGCGCGAAGCCGCGGGGCCGTCCCGCTATCCTGACTCGCGTGCGGCAGGGGAATTCGGAGGGTCGCATCACATCATCAAAACACTGATACACGTGGGTCGTCCCGGCTTACACACATACGCACAAACATCATGTTTGAGGAGCGGGGTTGAGTTAGAGAGTTTGCTGCAGGAAGGGCAAAGCGGGTCAAGCTGGTCCGAGGTCTTCACTGTTGGAAGCTGGTCTTCCTGCTTAATTGATCGTTCTGATGCAATGCTGGCTCGACTTTTGGCACAAACTGCTGACAAGAGCAGGTGTTGTTGCTCACAATGTGCTTCGGCAACGCAGATTCAAACGCACATGTGACCCGGCCTGTGCGGCCTACCTTGGCATCGCTGGCCCCTGCACGGCCTACCTTGGCATTGCTGTGTGACGCATGCGCCTGTACAGGCAGGCCACTGCCGCAGTGGCATCGCTTCATACCTCGCTTGAATTTCTGCGACGGATCCCATCGGTGCACTCCACTGCACATCATGCATAACACACAGCGCACAACACACTGTGCGCAACGCACAAATACACTACACACGCTGGTCTAGGCTTGCAGCGTGGCTACTTGTTTTGTTATTGCATGTGTATGGTGGCTCGTGGATTTCAGCTGTTTGATCCGTGGCTGTGTGCCCTTGGAGGGGCTGGCACAGCACCGCCTTGTGCCTGGTGGCGCGACTCGGTAGTGCAAGGGCAGCACACAGCTGTAACATGCATGACCCTGCCCTTCTTGGTGCCATAACAGTGCACTTGATATACTCTGGGTACTGCTGTTGCCTGTCTTTCGTACACCATTGCTGCTTGGCTGGGGTGGGTGGGTGG